TTCCTACTCAGGTGCTGTCCTGACACAAGTTCAGGCTCCAGGTTCTGTTTGGGGACCCAGGGGAGGTGCTCCAAGCCTGCAGGGTCCCCAGCAGTGGGAGCAGTGTCTGTGCACCTCCTTCCCTGAGGTCGTGGTCTGGGGCACCGGTAGCAGCAGCACTTCCTGTGTAGGGCCAGGGTTTGCAGCTCCAGCAGTGCTCTGTGACTGTGAGCCCCAGCTACTAATAAGCTCTTACCACCATTTTTCTCTGAATACAGAAAGCTCTGGGGTGGGCGGGACAGAGATGAAGAGAGGGGAGGAGAAGATGTGACAATCAGCATGAGACAGTGAGAAGGAGCAGGGTCTTGGGGAAATTGGCTCCCTGGTGCTCTGCAAGGATGGAGGAGCTCATCTTCCTGGAGGGTGGGGACAAGAGTGGGAGGAGATGAGGCTGGGGGTGTGGGGCTGAACGCCTGTAGCCTCTGGGATTCTGTTGCAGCCACTTTTTCGCTGGGATGGAAGCCTCCTACCCCTTCCACAGCCAGGCCCATCCCTTCCCCAGCTGCTCCGTCTCCTGGTGCCTGCTGCACCTGTCAGCTCAGGAACTGCTTGACCTTTGTCCTGCTCCCAGGCAGCTGCAAGGCTCTGAAAGGAAGGAGGCTGGGGTGTCGCTGGGGCTCCTTCCCTTCGTTACAGGCCCTGGGTTCAGCCTGAGGATGTGTCTGGGGTTGGATAATGGTCTTGTCCACTGGTAGCCCTGAAGCCTCCTTGGATGACAGCTTCCTTTACACATCTGCTGCTCCTCATACCAAGTCTGAGCACTACCTTGAGCCTCACAGGATGTGGGTCCAGGGCACACATAGATATCTTAAACACCTCTGCCCTGATGGAGCCCACAGTCCTGCGAACTGATCCTTATTGTGCTCCTACTGTGTGCCACTTGATGTATATATCACCTCATTTAACATCAACCCTCCGAGGTAGGGTTATTATTCCCATTTTATAGGTGAGAAAACAGACTCAGAGGGGCTGAATAAGATGCCCAAGTGGCGGAGCCAGGTCTGCTGCTTGTCGAGCCTGGGCTCTTTTCATCTCTGCAGCTCAGAATGTGGTTGAGGGTCAAGTTGAATGCCAGGAGACTGTGCAGAAGAGGTCAGGGAAGGGAGGTCTTCAGAGGCTGGGTCAATGGGAGGGCTTCCCCTAGGAGAAAGAGGTTTGCGGGGGCAGAGAGAGGAGAGAGGAATCCCAGTGAATTGAGCTGGGCCTGGGGTGGCCATACTAGACCCAGAGGGCAAGGGTGGGTTTGGGGGAGAGATGTATGAGGGCTCCCCAGCACCCTGTAGAGGACTGCCTCCTGTCAGGACACCTGGGTTCAATCCCACCTCCACTCCTCCCCCTCTGGTGACCTTGGGTACATTGCTCAACCTCTGAGTCACCTCCACTCAGCCATATTGAGCCTTTGTGCAAATTAGCAAAAGGTGCCCCTTCCCCAGGACACTTGACCAGCATCTGCTGGAAAATCATCATGACATATATGCACATTGATGGTAACCACGATGTCAGTGGCACTTTTTAGTGTTGGGATCCATAACTTGCTCAGCCATACGTGGTGGCCCTTCTCTGAGGCTCAGTGTCTTCATTTGCTCTCTGATGGGGATAAATACCCATAAATAAATACCCCCCAGCATTGTACAGACTGTGAGAGGTGAGGGCGGGCCAGTGGATCCATTGTCTGCCGGAGCAGGGCCAGGCTGGCTTGCTAATTCCAAGAGCACTCAGACATCCCCTGCACCGCCCAGACAAGGACCATTAGTGCCATATGGAGACTCTTTGTCAGCGGAGCTGTTCCCCAACCCCCACTTCCTCCTACCAGTTCCCTGCCTTCCCCTCCCCCTTCTTCCAGCCCCTGCCATTCATTTTTTTCCTCCGATTGTTCTTAGAATGACCCTGTCTCCTTCCCCCCTGTGTTGGGGCCTCTTCACCCCCCGCCGTCTACAGGCTCCCTGTGGCCATGGGGCCTCTGGCTTCCGGCTCCTGGGACAGTCACCCCTAGGTGGAACCCAGCCCAAGCTCATGCCTAGCTCTGATAATGGGGGTCCTAGTTCCTTGTCGCTTAGGCCCTGCTTTCATCCCTGCCATGCCCGGGTGCCTCACCCACCTGCCAGCTCTAATCTTGTCACCTGGCCGGTTCCCAGGGGCAGGGTGGGGCAGCCCCTCATTCCTGCCCTGTCCTCCCTGCCCCACTCTCAGGATCTAGCCAAGTGAGGACAGTGACCCTTAGTGTACAAGAACGCCATCTGCTGTGGGTCCTCCTGCCACCCGTGGTCTTCCTGGCCACCTGTCAGCATCACTCCTGGGTCCTATATCACACTTCGTTGCAGGACATCTCCCAGCACCTGTGGCACTATCCCTATCCCTGCAGCCAGCCCCCTGGTCCCACCAGATATCGGCCCCTAGGCTGCTTCCCTGGAACAGGAACCATCATAGGCCGAGGCTCAGCTCTCCCTCGGGCCCCTCTGAGAACCTTGTCTTCTGGTCAGAGGCACAGTAGCCTTGTCCCACTGAGGTAGAGCAATCTCTGGACAGCTGGCTGCTCACCACTGCCAGCCCACGGGCCACAGAAGACTAAGGCTCCTCTGTGGGGGTGGGGCGGCCAGCCCCCAGTGCAATCCCTCCTGAGTGGGCGTACTCATTTGGGGGTAGGAGAAAGGGTGTTTTCTTACCTTCTGCGTTATTATCAAATCTTTCTTAAGTTTCCACTCACCTTGGGAATATGAAGACCACCCAGATTTTCAAGGGTATAGCGGGGAGACACATAGAGACAGTTACAGAACTGCAGGGCGTGTGCTGGAGCTGACGTGGGGGAATGGGAGCTTGAGGAGTTGGGAGTCTCCCTGCAGGGACAGGGAAGGCCTCAGGGAGAGGAGGGCTTGCCCGTGGACTAGGTTGCTTTCTAGATGGAGGGTGTGGCTCATGCAGATGCACAGGGCTTGAAAGACACATGGCTTGCCTGCTCCTAGCCAGGGTTTCTCCATTCCTGAACAAGGCCGGGCCTTGCTGGGCCTGGAACTGGGGCTTGTGCCATTCTATGTCTGGGTGGGGCAGACACCAGAAGCCTACTCTCTGAGAAGCCACCCCCTCCACCTGCTGGAAAGATGGTTTCTTCAGGGTGTTGTCTTTTCACGTCTCCATGTCACCCAAGCTGGAGCCCTGCTGCCCAGGGCTAGGTCTGAAGAGGTGCTCATAGTCATGACTCACCAGGGCCTTTCCTGTGTGCCAAGGAAAGGCAAAACATACTTACAGATGCGCTGAGAATACTGACTGCTCACCAGTTCTGAGCACTTGACTTGTATTATCTCATTTAATTCTCTCATCAACCCCGTGCATGAGTACTATTATTAGCCTCATTTCACAGAGGGGGAAACTGAGGCATAGAGGGGTTACATCAGCTTGCAAGGCCCAAGGTTACACAGTAAGTGGTGGACACCAAGTCTGGCTCCAGACACTACACTTAACTGCTCCACTGTGCTGTCTCTTGTCAGTGTAGGATGGAGGTATCCTGGGTGAGTGAACTCTCCCTCTTCATCTAGTCATAAGTACTAAGAGAATGGAGGTAGGCTCAGTCCCTGTCCTTGCAGAACTCAAGGGGACACAGGGTTATCTGGGAGACATGGTCATGTGAGCAGATCACAGTATACAGAATATGAGTTTAAAGACAGGTACACTGATGCTGTGAGAGCACCGAGGGGGGGAGCACGGTGGTAGGGGCAAAGTCCAGGAAGGCTTCACAGAGGAGGTGACATTTGAGCTGACTTGAAAGGTAAATGGGAATGTTAGGTGACCAAACCCAAGGGGCGGTGGCCCTTCCAGAGTAAGGGAACTGGTAGGAGATATGAAGCTGGAGAAGTGGAGGTGGGGAGCAGCCCCAGAAGGAACCCCTGCTTAGCTAAGCAGTAAGGAGCCATCAAGAAAGTAAATGGGGATTAGAACTATAGCTTCAGGCCTGGCTGTCTTATGCAGGTGGAGGAGAGCTGCAAGGAGCCCAGCAAGGGGCCTCCTGGGCAGTGTCCAAGTGAGAGATTGCCCCGCCACTTCAAACCCTCCAGCCCATCAAGGGAGGGTGGTCTTGGGTCTCTCCTGCACTGACTTCCCCTCAAGGGCTGTTGGTTTGTTCTGATGATCTCAGCAGTTTCCCAGAGAGCAGGATGTTCAAGCTTGTTGTGCTTCTGAGATAAGGGGACGGATGAAAGCAGGGATAAACCCCAGGGCCCAGCGGAAGCGTCTGCAGATCTCTGAGTCGGCCCTTCGGGAAGGAGCAGTGGTGGGCCAGGAGTCCCCACCCTCCCATCCCCACCTCTACAGGAGACAGAGGGGTGGCCTGGTCCAGCCTGGAGGGACCAGTGCCTGGTGGGGGCGACAGAACACTGCCTTTCCTCAAGTCCAGTGTGTGTGTGTGTGTGTGTGTGTGTGTGTGTGTGTGTGGGAGGGGAAGTATCTTTAATCCTCCACTAATTTGCTGTGTGCCTTAGGCAGGTTGCTTTGCCTCTCTGGGCCTCAGTGTTTACATCAGTAGTACAGGGTGGGAGTGGAGAATAATAATACCTCGTTTGTAGGCCTGTGTGAGGAGGGAAGGAGGTGAAGGATGTGATCTGTTCATAGACTGCAAATCACCATGCCAGTGGGAAGGCTCTGTGCAGATGTGGCCTTTGTTCCTGGGGCCATGGCCAGAGTGGAGAGACTGGTACACATTGACAGGGCCTAAGGCTGCAGCAAAAGGGCCCAGCTCTGGGGTGGAGCCTACCCTGCTCCGAGCTCCCCACCGCTTTGTGCCTCAGGCTCTGTGATGTTGGACAGGACACTTTCCCTCTCTGGGCCTCAGGTCCCTACCAGCATGAAGAGGGCACTAATCCCTGCCTGGCAGGCTTGGCTACAGACTGGGGAGAAGGGGGGCGCATTCGGGTGGGTGCCTCCTGGGCCAGCCCCCGACCCCACATGACCCGTCTCCTGCTCTGCTCCTCCAGTGGGAGCGCCTCTGGTTCCTGCTCCTCACGGTCACCTTCGGCCTCACGCTCACCTGGCTCTACTTCTGGTGGGAAGTCCACAATGACTACGATGAATTCAACTGGTGAGTGGGGCAGGGGATGAGGCCTGGGTCCCGGGCATCTAGTGGCTGGGGGAGGGGGATTGGAGTTTGAGCCTCTCTCCCAGGCTGGTCCTCAGAGGTCTGCCATCAACTCTGTGTGGCTTTGGGAGCAGGTCCTCTGGAAAGACAAAGCCCAGCAGGAACTGAGACCAGCTGGGGAGGACATTGAACTCCTTCCTGGTGCTATCTTGGAAAATAGGAATGGAAGGCTGGGCAGGGCTCAGCAGGGGGCTGGGGCCTCTAGCCCCCTTTGTAGACAAGAACTCCAAGGCCCAGAGATACAGTGGCCTCAGCAGAGGAGATGGCCCATACCCCAGGCCTCTTAACTCCCTGAGCAGGGCCTTGGGCAGGGCTGGTGGATGCCGTGGTTCTGGGACAGCTCAGGTTCTTTGTGAGCACCAGCCTCAGGTCCAAGGGCAGGGCCGCCTGAGTGCTGTACCTGGATACAGGAGGGTACCTGTTTCTTCCTCACCCCTGCCTCCACTTGTTAAACAGTGCAGGGGGGAGGGGAGGAACCCTGGGTTCTAGTGAGAACTCCTTCATTGACAAGTGTAGCTACTAAGGCCCAAGTTCACACCGTCAACTGGGGGCAGAGTTGGGGCTTGAAAACCAGACCGCCTCTTCCCCATTCAGTGTTGTGTCTTTATTTTGGTCAGAAGTTCAGGTCAGTATGATTGTGAGCAAATCTTTGGTCCTCTCTGAGCCCCAATGTCCTCTTCTGTAAAATGGGCTAACTCTGACCTCATCAGCTATTCTGGAAGGTGAAATGAGATGAAGGACTTGAGAGGGCTCAAAGCTCTACCTAAGCTTGAGGGCTATTTCCTGGGAGGCCCATTCTCTAACTGGAAGGTGGCCATGATGTTAGAATTGGGGATTTCTAGGGCTCCAGGCTTCTAATGGGCCATGGTTCTGGGATTCCATGATGATCCTGATTCTGTTCATGGAGTTGGACATACAGCCCCCTCTGTATGACCGTAGGCTGCGCCTCTGTTATTAATGAGCACAATAAAGGACTCGCTGCTGTCCCACCCAAGCCTGGCAAGAGGAGCCTCAGCCCCAGCTGAGCCCCAGAGGTGGCCTCTGGCCTTTATTAAATGCTATAAATCAATTACTCATCCTTGTAGGTATCCACAGCACAGGCACTGTGGTGGGTATACAAGAACATTCCTTGTGGGCCCTCAACTGCAGACCTTGGATAGTTCTGCTGAACTGGAGGTTCGCTGCCTGGGAGATCATCAGATCCATCCCCATCATGTTCATATGGGGAAACTAAGGCTCAGAAAGGGGCAGGACTCACCTGTGGTAGTAACAACCAGTTAGTACCAAAAAGACACACTGAAGACAGCCTGAGGAGACTGAGGCTCAGAGAGGTTAAGAAGCCTTTCCAAAGGCACACAGTAAAGTGCAGACAGCTCTAGGACAGTGACTTGAGCCTGACTGACTGTATCATGCTGTCTACAGACCTACCCCCTCTTCCCTGAGAGTGAGCTCCTGTCACTGGGTCCCTCAAGAAGAGGATGGGTGCCTGCCCTGTCAGGGAGGCTGCGTGGGACTTAGGGATGGCCTGAACGCCTGCCTGTCATCTCAGTTTCTTGAAGTCGGTGCTGGGTTTTGGGAAAGCCTGGCCCGGCCCTGTGGTCTTGAGAGTCTGGAGAGAATGAGTGAGACCCAGGTGGTCAGGGCTGGAGGACAAGAGCCAGGGAGGGGCCGTCTGGGCTGTTGCTGTCCAGGAGGGTTCCCTGGCAAGTGAGTGACAAGTGGAGCCAGAACATTTTTCAGGAGCAGTTACCAGGAGCAGGTCCCACCCCTCTCTGGGCCTCAGTTTCCCCAACTGTACAGTAGAAGAGTACACTGTGATCTTCCAGGCAGTGGATTTTCCTCTGGAGTCTGAGGGTGAGAGCCAGGGAAGGGCCGGGGACAGGCGCCTTCAAAAGTGTACTCCCTTTAGTCCTATAATTCTAGTTGTAGGAGTCTACCCTAAGTAAATAATTACTAGTACAGAAAGATACGTGCAAAACTTTCTTTTTTGTGTTAGTTTGTAATAGTGAATAATTGGAAAGAGTTAATTGTCATTAATAGGAGGTTGGCTACAGATGGTGCACTAATTCAGCAGACCACGTGGCTGTTGAAAATCACATTTCCTCGGGATTTTTACTCACCTCTGTAAATGCCTGTGTTAATAAGAAGAGAATTAACTACTTACCACATGCCTCCCCACCCTCAAGTCATCCTCAGGAAACCCTGTGAAGGGAATTTTATCAACTCTAAGACTCCTTATTTTCACATTTTAACATTGAAATTGAAATGAGTGTCACAATTGATGGCATTTTAGGATTGGTGAAGCCTGTTACCTCCACAGGGACCTATAAGCTAGTAAGAGGCAGGGTGGGCATTTGAATCCGAGGGGACCTCCCTCCAAAGCCCAAACTCTGACCACTATGCTATAAGCAGCAGGTCCCGGCTTTGCTGTTTATACAAATATATAAGCATAGAGGGGGACCACTGGGAGAAAAGTCAGCTCAGTTTGGGAAACGGTGATTTCTGGACCGTAGAATTATGGGGACTGTTGATTTCCTCTTTATGCTGTCGGCATGCCCGGTGTCCACCATGAGCCCTTGGCAGGCCTGTCTGATGATCAGGGGAACAATAGCATCATTACAGAGGGGCCAGGGCCTGGCCCCTGAGCCTGGCCAGCCCGAGGGAACGTCCTGGTACCTGGTAGAGGTCTGACCCTGGCCCCCTCCCCTCCTGCAGGTACCTCTACAACCGCATGGGCTACTGGAGTGACTGGTCCGTGCCCATCCTCATGACCACAGCCACCGCCTTCACTTACATTGCCGGCCTCCTGGTACGTGGGACTGGCCCCGCTCTCAGGGAGGGAGATTTGGCCTTTGCGGGGCTGATGGGGGAGGCCCGCCCTGGCCTAAGGAGGGAAGCTGGCTTTTCCCTTCTCTCTGGCTGCTGCGCCTCAGGGGTTGGTTCCTTCGAGGTGGAGGCCACCTTGCTTTTGCCCCATCCGGGAGTATTTCCCCCCGACCCAGTGAGAGCCATCGCTCTTAGGGGCCACTGCAGACTTTCTCTTCCAGGAACTTCTGCTTTGGTTCCTGCGCTCAGTACTCTATTCCCTCAGATTTGGGTCAATCCCTTTGTTGGACTGGGGGCTCGTTGGGGCCAAGAATCAAATGGACCTCAGCCTCATGGGCCTGGAACTCCTGAAACATTAATTGAGCAGTCCAAGTGCAATAGGGCTTAGTGACCGCTGAGGGAGAGATTCTAGAGGAGGGGCGGAGGCCTGGAAGAATTTGGGAGGAGGCCAGGCTTGGGCTGGGCTGGGCATTCCCATTGCCTGCTGCGAGGGTTTGCTGACTTTTCTGAGCCAGACCCAGGGCAGCAGCAGGGAGAAGGATGTCTGGGGAATTGTCGGAAACCTTTAAGTTGCACATGGGGTCTGACCATCGCCCTGTGGGCCCCTCTTCAGGTCCTGGCACTATGTCACATCGCTGTGGGGCAGCAGATGAACCTGCACTGGCTGCACAAGGTAAGGGCTGCCTCCGCGAGGCCTGAGAGGGGAAAGGAGGCCAGATACATCATCCCTCCTCTGGGTCATGATTATAATTGTTCCAGTAGCTAACACTGACTACTCACTCTGTGCCCTGCACTGTTTCACAGCCTGGCCTGTATTAACTCATTTAACCCTCACAGTAACCCTATGATGGAGGTACTGTTATCCTATTTTGCAGCTGAAAAAACTGAGGTACAAAGAGGTTAAGTAATTTGCCCAAGGTCTCCCAGTTAATACATGGAGGATCCAGGGTCCTGACCCTGTAGCCATGCAATTACCCAGTACGGGGCACAGCTGCGGCCCTCTGGTTGGGCCCTGCCTTGGGTCTCACCTCTCTTCATTCCTCAATGAGCTCATTCTAAAACTGATCCAGTCATGTTATTCCCAGCTTAGAGCTCCTCCCACCACTCATACTGCTCCCAGGATGATCCAAACTCCCCCACCCAGCACTGAGGCCCTGCATGACTTGGCCCCTGCTGATGTCTCCCAACTGCTGTGGTGGGTCAGTCACCCCCAGCTTTTGCGCTATGAGACATCTCTGGCCCTGCCAGCATGTCTGCCTCTTCTCCACTTTACCTCTTCGCTCTTGCCTCACTTTCTCTCTCTTTTGGACCCCTCCTTGGTTCCCTACCACCTGCACAGGCTGCTTGGACTCCCGCAGCCCCGGCAGGGCCCCCTACCACAGTCCTGAGCATCCGTGTTGGCCATTTCCATCTGGCTCCCTCACCCCAACCCTCCCCAGTCTGGGAGCTTCTTGTAGGCCAGGATTGGCTTTGTCCATCTCTGTGTTCCCAGTGTCCACTCAGTGCTGGGCCTATAGCAAGGAGGCTTCATAGATTCAGAACCTCAGTTCTCTTGCTGTTCATCACATGCATGATGCTGAATGTATGTACCTGAGATGCTGGCTCTTCTTGAGGCCCCCGTGGGCCTAGTGGTGGCACAAAACTAACCGAGAGAGAGCGCTTCCCTCCCTGGAGCACCTGGGTCTTGGAGGCAGGGCTAGACCATCTCTTTTATTCCCAGAGGCTGGCTCAGTGTGGGCTTGCCATTCAGGAAGGGGCAGAAATGTCCAGAAATAACCATGAGCTCATGAGATGGGTTCAGAGTGAGTCTGAGGAGAAGGGCTTACTTCCAGCTAGAAGGAGGACATGAAGCGGGAACTGGAAGATATATTGAGCTCGCGTTGGGCTGTGCAGTGGGAGGTGCCTGTGGGCATCTGGGGGCCTTGGAGATCAGGTGCTGGGGAGTCAGGCTGGGTGACTGAAATCTGCCAGCAGCCCAGGTGTCCCACCTTCCTCCTACTTATCACTCTATCGGAAGGTCTCCTCTGGGCTTGTGAAGTCTCCTCTGTGAGGCACTTTTATCTCCTGGCTGCAAAGCTAACACTTGAAAGAACTGCACCAGATGGCACCTGGGTGGGGCTGGCACACACCGTGGTCACCTCCTCTAGATCATGCCTGGTTCTCAGCAGGTCACATCTGCTTGATCCTTTTGGAGAGGCCTCGGAGGCACTGAGCCAGCAGGGGTGGCATATCACTGCAGGGAGGCTTCTCCTGGGAGGGGGAATCAGGTCCCTTCATCTGCACTGGTGTCAGCTCTGCCTTCCTCTCCGCTCTGCACCTCCCACAAGATCTCAGCATGAGGAAGGTCCTTCCAGGCAGAGCTGAAGCATAACTGGACATGTTGCACCAAGAGGGAGGCAGTTCCCTGGGGCTCAGAGTTTTCCAGTAGGGGTTGGGCACTCTCCTATTTTGTTTCCAAGATTCTATCATTTGATTAGAAGATTCTAAGGAATCCTTATTCTTTTTTTTTTTTTAATCCTTCCCTAAGGATATTTTTTCCATTGCTTTTCAGCGAGAGTAGAAGGGGGGGAGAGAGAGAGAGAGAGACATCGATTGGTTGCCTCCTGGACTCGAACCTGCAACCCAGGTACGTGCCCTTGGCTGGAATCGAACCCGGGGCCCTTCAGTCTGAGGGCCAACGCTCTAACCACTGAGCCAACTGGCTAGGGCCCCTTATCTTTTTTCTGTTTTAACCAATTTTTGACTTTCTAATACACTGACATGGTTCAAAATTAGGAAGGTACAAGAAAGTACACAGTGTAAGTCTCCCTACTACCTCTCCAAAGTATTTCAAGTATATCCAAATACACGTATACACTCCCTTTCTCCTTTGCTTTATTTTTTAAAATATATTTTTATTGATTTCAGAGAAAGGAAGGGAAAGGTAGAGAGAGAGAGAGAAACACCAATGATGAGAGAGTCATTGATCGGCTGCCTCCTGCATGCCCCCGACTGGGGATGGAGCCCGCAACCCGGGCACGTGCCCTGACTGGGAATCGAACTGTGACCTCCCGGTTCATAGGTTGACACTCAGTCACTGAGCCACGCCGCCCAGCTAAACACAAGCCCGCTATACCCTCCATTCCGCATGTTAACAAAACTCTTGGAGCTCCTTCCCCTCGGTGCATTGAGAGCTTCCCATTGCCACCCAGCCCCTGCTCCTGTTCCTGGGTCTAACCCTGGGTCCCGGGGTATCTAGCGGACCCTTGTTGATGAGCCTGATGACATCCCAATTGCTTTTAATTCATTGTCAGGACCATGTGGCAGTGACCTGGGTGGGAATTTCGGGGTAAAGAGTGTATACTTTAGTAATTGTGATAGTTCTTGTCAAATCACCTCTTTGCCAACACCAGTAGTTCATGCTCCCTCGCAGGCTATGGTTGTACCTATCAAATCGCCCTGGCCCGTAAGGTGTTCCAAGATGTCGCGACTTTGCCGATGGGTGGGTGAAAATGGTCCCTCAAGCGTAGTTTTGATTTGATTTCCCTGACGATGCCTTAGATTCAACATCTTTCATGTGCTTGAGTCACTTGCATTTTCTTTTCCATAAACTGTCTCTTCATATCTTTTGCCCTTTTTGCTACAGGATTTGCTTTTTGCTTGTTAATTTGCAGGAGCTCTTTATAGATTTGGAAAATTGGCCCTTTGGCTGATGAACTGCAAATAATTCTTCCAAGCGTGTCACTCCGCCTTTGACTTTGTTCATTGTACTTTTACCATGGGAACTTTTTTATTCTTAAGGACGTGAATCTGTCATCTCTTTTTATCGCTCCTCACTGTCGGGGCCTTTCCCATTCCAAGATTATAAAAGATTTCTCTATGGTATTATTTGGTAATTACATGTTTCTACTTTTTTAACATTGAAAATTTTTATCTTTTTGGAAGTTATTTTCAGGTATAGTATGATCTTACTTTGTTCTTCTCAGACGGCCCCCTCTGTTCCTATCCATTGAGTCGTCTGCCCTTTCCCTTCTAATTGGAGATGCCACTTTTATCATATGCTAATTTAAAAAATCTATTTAGATCTGTTTCTGAGCTTTTTATTTACTTTCATTTATCTCTCTGGTTTTATACCAGTATCATTCTGCTTTAAATACTGCAGTTTCATACTGTGTTTTAATCAAGATCTTTATTTGGAGAGTCTCTGGTCCCCCCCACCCCACCCACACGAGTCCTGAGTAGAGGAAGGCTGGGGGACAGAGATGCCAGGACCTGTCAGGCACTGCGCTCATCCTAATAGCCACGACCATCAGTTACTGGGCACTCACTCTATGGGTCAGGAACTTTCCACACAGTATTTCATTTACTCCTTGTAATAATCCTGTTCATCTGATATTAGGCCCACTTTGAAAAATTATACCACTAACATTTAGTAAGTATTTACTATCTTGGTGCCCACCACTGTGCTAAGCATGTCCCTTGTATTTTCTCATTTATCTTCCCCAGTACCCACTAGGGAAGGCACTCTCCCCGTTTCACAGCTCAGGAAACATGCTCTGAGAGGCTCACCTCCCCCATTAGGCAGCAGAGCCGGGGTTTCACTGGTGGGTATACTTAAGTGTGTCCCAAGCCCTGGCCAACCAGCTGCCACAGAACCCAGATCCCAGCCTCGTCCAAGAGGCCAACCTGTGGCACCTTTGCAAGGCTGGGTTCCAACTCCTCTTGGGTGCCAGCACCCAGGCAAGGCTCACTGAACAAATAGATGTACCTCCTGTATCCCGATCCTTCCCATTGTCCTCGCAAACCACAGTCTCACCAGCACTGAAAACCAAAGACTGCGTTCTCCGGGGACCGTGGGCTGCCCCTGGGCCTTCTGGGTGGGGTTTCTCCTTTCCAGGCAGATTTGAGGAACAGTGGTTACACTGTTGGGATTCAGTGCTGTTCTTGTGGCTTAAGAACGCCTGTTGGGGGGAAATCCCACAGACACTGAACACTGCAGCAATGCTGCTGAGCATAATGGTGCCACTACAGCAACTGCAAAACTCATAATAAAATTTTAATTGCATTAGGATGATGGGGAATTCGTTTTATTGCAAGTATTTCCACAAGCAATTAAATATTGCAATAAGATGCTCTCAGAAATGACCCTTCAGAGACCCTTGCTGTGCCCAGGGAGGCAGGGCTCCTGTGCATTGAGGGGGAGTCTCAGGGATGGCTAGGACACGGCTCGGCCTCCCGCCACTGCAGCATGACCTCTGGGACAGGCAGAACGGGTTCTGGGTCCAGATCCACCCCCTCAAAGCTACATGGCCAAGCAAACCCTTATGGTCTCTGAGTTCAGTTTCTCTATGTATGAAATGAAGATAATTCCTCACCTGGGACGTTAGGAGGATACACAGGAGGAAAAATGGAAGTGCCTCCCACAGACCCAGGCACACACGGGCCCTCCGTGGGCCTGCGTTTCCCGACGGTCAAGTCAGTCTGCGAAGGCCCCACCTGTCTCAGCCTTATTACTGTTTCTTATTGAAACATTTGTTTCCAGGCTGATGGGCTGCAAAGGAAAACTTCATCCCAGGCAAGAACGAATCTTCCTTGCCTGGCAGGGAGCCAAGATGGGTTGGCCCGTCTCTGCCCTCACCATCTAGAAACTCATTTAGAGCTTGTACTATCATTGGAGGGTTCTCAGAGCGCTGCTGAGAGGGGCTAAGAAAGGCACTGAAGGAAGAGAGAGGGGTGGGGGCCCTGTTGGCAGAGAGGACAGCTTGAGGCAGGCCTAGGAAGTCAGTGGGGGCAGGGTGTGGTGGCCTGGGCTAGCCTGTTATAGAGAGCGGGGTAGGGGCTTTGGGGTAGAGCTGTGATCTGGGCATTACCGAGGCCTGCCTGGCAGTGCAGGGAGGTGTGGAGGGTGAGTGCCACAGCTCAAGGGAGCAGGGGGGTTCTGGGGACTTCCTTAGTTTGGAGGAGCACCTGACATTGCATGAGATGTTTCACATCCCATCTGTCCCCAGAGATCTCTGTCCTTGAAGGTTCCATCTAGCAGAACTGTGCTTGCTTTCTCCAGCAGGCGGCTGTGAAGGCAGCCCTGATGACACCTTAGAGGCTGGAAGGTCAGAGGCTGGGGCTGAGAGCAAGCCTCTGCCATGGGGCTGGGGCGGGTGGGGCAGGACCCTCCCTCACCTCTGCTTGCTCAGCCTGAAGGGCCACCTTGAGCTTGGCTGGCTGGGTATAGGCTGGGCTGGGTATCAGGCTCCCCTGGCTCCTCAGCCTCCTGCCCCTGTGATCCAGGCAAGTCACCCTTCACCCGAAAGGTTGCTGGCAGGGCTGGGGAAGGCCTTGGATGTGACCTACTGGGCCCAGGAGACACCCCCTCTCCAATTTGCTGGGTGTCTTTCCTCCTCACACCTTCTGTGGGGCTGTGCCCTGGGGCTTCACCTCTGCCTTGCTCCATCGCCCTCCTACCTCCCCACCCTTCTTTCTGTCTCTCTTGGTCTTTGTTCTCACGGGTCTGTCTGCCTCCTGCCTCTGCCTCTCACTGTCACCTGTCTGGCTGTCTCAGGCTTCTTTCAGTCTGTGCCCGTCTCTCTCCCGCTTCCCCCCTTCCCTGCTTTGCCTGCCTCTCTCGCACTCTCTATCCCTTCCCCTCAGTCTCTCAGTCTCTCCCTCTGCCTCTCCCTCTGCTCTCCCTCCCTCAGACACAGTGGGGACCCTCAGGCTGTCCAGCCACACCTGCTCTGACCCCTTGTCTGGTGGCTCTTTCCCCTTCCAGATGGGATTGGTGGTCATCCTGGTGTCCACAGTGGTGGCCATGTCGGCCATGGCCCAGCTGTGGGAGGAGGAGTGGGAGGTGCTGCTGATCTCCCTGCAGGTAAGTGGGGGGAATGCTTCCCCCAAACCCTCAAAAGAAGGCAACATCCTTTTATTGCTTTCATTTCCTCAGACCAAGACCCAGAGGCGGCAGGGAGGGGTCCAGGTCACAGCAGGTCAGAGGAGGGAGGGTGCTATAGCTCAGGGTCCCTGGACTCCCAGTGTCCTCCAAGAGTTCCCTGCCCCTTGGCTAGAGCTGGGCCATTGGGATGTTGGTGAGCAGAGGGTCTGGCATGGCTGGGAGTCAGCCATCCCTCTTGTCCTCCCACCCAAGGGCACAGCTCCGTTCCTGCACATGGGGGCCCTGGCCGCCATCACCGCGCTCTCCTGGATCGTGGCAGGACAGTTCGCCCGGGCAGAGCGCTCCTGTAAGTACCACCGGGTGAGACCTGTCCCCCACCATGCCCTCCAAGTACCAGGCCAGCTCCGTACTGCCCTCACCTAGATGTCACCTGGTGCCCTTGGGAGGAGGTAGCGCCTTTGCTCTCGGTGTGGGGGGTTCTGTTCGGAGTGGCCATGGGTTCCAGGGAGGGCTGCAGCCTCAGTCAGCTTTGCTGTTACTTCTTCTGCACCTGTGTCTGTGCGTCCGCGTGTGAGTTAGAGGCCAGGGTCACCTTTCCAGCAAGAATAGGGGCTGCCCTTAGTGCAGGGTCCCTTCAGAGCATGTGTGTCCTGAGAGCTAGAGGGAAGAGGGGTCCCCACAACCTGCCCAGGGCTCACAGTCGGGCCTGGTGGGAGCCGGATGCCCACTGGGCAGTGCTCACACCTGTGTCTGCAGCCTCCCAGATGGCCATCCTCTGCACATTCTCTGCTGTGGTGTTTGGCCTCTACCTGGCCCCTCTCACCATCTCCTCTCCCTGCATCATGGAGAAAAAGGACCTGGGCCCCAAGCCTGCCCTCATTGGCCATCGCGGGGCCCCCATGGTGAGTGCCACCTGAGGGCACTGACAGACCGGGGTGGGGGTGGAGTGGGGAGCAGAGCTGCCATTCTAGGGGGAGATAAGCGAAGACCTATCTCCTTGTAGGGAGGGACTTGTAGGGAAATGAATATAATACATGTAATATAATAATAGCAACACTGTTTAGCCCTTTTTGGGGGGGCGGTATATGGGGAGGGCTGATGAGAAGGCTGGAGAAGTTGGATGGGATCAAGTCCTGAGGTGGTGGGTTGGCGGGTCCCGCATGGCTGGGAGTCAGCGGCCGCTCTTACCCCGCCACACAAGGGCACAGCTCCGTTCCTGCACGTGGGCCTGACTCCCAGCCATGCCACAGAGAGGGCTGCTGGGTGGGGTAGAGCCCGGCCTGCGGGCTGTGGCCAGGCAGCAGGGGAACTGCCAGCTCAGGGCCCACTGCTACAGGGAGGACTGCTAAAGTTGAACTGGGTTGAAATGGAGAGAGGAAGGAGTCAAAGTCAGCGACTGCTCCTCTGCTGATGCCCCTGTGACCCTGAGTGACCCGCCCCTCGAGGGGGCATACTCCAGAGCCGGCTTCCTCGGCCTTGTGGCAGCTATGGGAGCCCGGACCAATTCCATCTTCCCTGTGCCAGTTTCCTCATCGTGTACCACGAGATCATGAGAGTGCCCGAGCCGGAGGGCCAGCGAGGCGGGACTTGGCACGTGTGACGCCTGGTAGACGGTCCTGTTTCTTAGGCAGGCCCTCCCCCTTCTCTGGACCAGGGTTTCCTCACCTTGAACGTGGGTTCTCAACAGAGGCAGTACCACTCCCCACCCCCGGGGTGCTTGGGGGCTTTGTGAGAGCTTTTCCGTGGTTGTCACAATGACTGGGAGTTCTGTGGTGTTGAATTTCAGGGTAGCCCAGGTAGCCTCACAAAGTAACTTTTAAAAGGAGATGTTGACGCCCTGGCTGGTTTGGCTCAGTGGTTAGAGCGTCGGCCTGCGGACTGAAGGGTCCTGGGTTAGGTTCCGGCCAAGGGCACGTACATCGGCTGCAGGCTCGATGCCCGACTGGGTTGGGGCTCGTGCGAGAGGCAACCCGTCAGTGTGTCTCTCTCACATCAGTGTTTCTCTTTCTCTCCCCCATTCCACTGTCTGAAAAGCAATGGAAAAAATATCCTCAGGTGAGGATTAAAAATTAAATAAGTAAATAAATAAATAAACGGAGATGTTGAATCTGATGGGGCTATGAATTACCTTAAGATCCTCCCCCTATTGCATGTGGTGGGTGTTGTGTCCATTTCCTAGACAAGGCCCAGAGACCTGTGCCCCTGAGCAGGACCCATGTGCCCTCCACCACACCCCATTTTGGTCACAGCACCTGGAGGCAATGAGCTGGAAAGGCCATGGCTCTGGATTTGAGTCCAGTTTTGCCATATGCTGCCTATGTGTCTCAGGCAGGCACCTGTCCCCTCTGAGCCCGTCTATAGTGAGGATATAGAAGCACAGCCTTCCCAGGCAGTGGGGCTCCTCTTTTCTCAATGACCCAGATACCCGCCCACCGCTCTAGAGGCCAGGGGACAGGAGAGGGTGCTGAGGTAGGGGAGGAGGGGTGAGGGGAAGGAGCAAGGTGGCCCAGCATGGATTATTTTTTAGTAGAAAAATTTCAATCAGGGACATGGAAAGAGTAGTATAATGAAGAATGGCACAATGAATCTGATACCACCTTCAGCATCCATCAATTCTTTGCCATTCTCGTTTCATCTCTCCCTACTTTTCTTTTCCTGCTGTAATATTTTAAAGTGAACATCATATAATTATAACACCCAACCAAATTAATAATTCCTTAATATTATCTAATATTAAATCCATGTTCAGTTTTCCTTTATTATCTGAAAAATATGTTTATAGTTGAGTTGTTAAAAATCAGGATCCAATGGGGCCCAGCCAGTGCATCCGGTTGACATGTCTTCTAAGAATGTTTTAGACTGTAACAACCCTCTCCTTTTTTTCCCATATGCTGTTTATTTGTTGAAGAAACAGTCATTTGCCCTGTAGAATTTCACACATTGTGCATCTGGCTGATTGCATTCTTGGGGTGTTTTTTGAGGGGCCGGCGTAGGCATAACTCCCCCTGGTGTCACTGTGAATGCTCGGGATGCTCATGCGTGTCTCCCTGTGGGAGGTTCTGACTCTGGGTCCAGACATCTGTGTATGATAAACCCAAGTGCCCATCCCTGTCTTAAGACTGTGTCCACGTGCCCTGGGTGTGTCCTCCCTATGTGAGTGTGCCTGTGTGTGTATGTGCATGTGCACACTTTAATATTTGGTCGGACTAACTCCAAAGCTTAGACTCTTAACCACAGTGGCCTGCCCACTTGAGTTTGTGACCCCCCCCCGCCCCAACACACATTCTTGACAACAGAACATGTGGGCTTAGGCCTGAGGCAGTGGGAGCCCTGATATGGGGATTACGAAGTCACCTCAGAATCCCACATACTTCTGGGGGCCCTCCTAGAGTTCCAGGACTGGCCAGGGAGGGCCAGCTTTCCATGCCTCTTTCTCTAAGAGGGCAGCACTTAACTAGGGAGACCCAAATTGAAAAAAAGCCTCCAGAAAGAGACTGCCCTTCCAAACACTTCCTCAGTCTATCCACATTCTACCTTCTGCAGCCCCAGCCCAGGCAGGAGAGAGCAATGGTATCTCTTGAGTAGTCACTCGTGGAGGCCTGGCCACAGGACATTTAGAGATGAGATGGGTGGGAAGCCCACGCCTCTCTCTAGATGCGTCTGTGGCCCTGCTCCACCTCTGGGTGAGGTCTCACACAGCCCACTTGACTGGGAGATGGCACGTTCCCCAAGGCTGCTCTGCACCAGGGAAAGGGCAAGAGAGAAACTGATATTATAAAGACTGCTGATGTCTGTTATCTCACCTATGAGCTTGATAACAGCCCATTTTATAGCTAAAGAAACTGAGGTTCCAAAACATGAGGTGATGGCCCAGGACTGGGAAATGGAATTGCTCCTTCGCAGCTCCAATGCCCTTTCTGTGCCATACTGTCTCCCAGAGAAGGGGATTGTTACATGTTGGGGAACAGCATGGCCAGATGGAGAAAGAATGGGAATGAGTATGTCTTGGTGGTAATGAGATCAGCCATGGGGACCCTTTCCACCCCATCCCTCAGTCAGGAGTCCTCCCTCCTGGTCTTCCTTGCCTGGCTCCTGGTCCAAGCCCAATCCTTGGTGTGGTGCTGACCCCCAGTGGCAGTAAAGAGTATGACAGGGTCCTCAAACCTGATAGAACTAGGGAGACTTAAAATCTCCACTCTCCCAAATGGAAGGACCTTCAAAGAACAGTGACTGTACTTTCTCAAGGAGTAAATGGGGAAACTGAGGTCTACAGGAGAAAGAGATGCGCCCAAGGTCACAAAGCTGGTTAATGGTAGAGTTAGGGTTAGAACCAGGCTCTGTTGATGTGTATACTATAAGGTTAGCAGTTGTCATTTATTAAGTTGTCATTACTTATTTTACGTCAGGCAACATGCTAGGGAATTTTAATCCGTGTAACTGTCTTGGAGATGATCCTGTCATTTTCTGTATAGATGAGGAAACTGGTCATCCTCTGAAACTGCCACCTATCTACCCTCCTCTCGCTCCAGGATCTCTACCTGGACTCAGGGAATTATAAGGGGAAAACTTGGCATTCGGCCCCAGCCCAAGACTTCCATAAGGCAGAGGGCTGCAGAAAAGCCCTCCCACCCCCACTTTTATATACATCAACACTAACCACCCCTGCCTCTCACTCTCACCCAAAACCCCTGCAAGGCAGGCAGCATTTAACAGATGAGGAAACTGAGTTTCAGAGAAGCCGTGTGGCTGCCCCTCTTACATAGCTATTGCTTGGAGGAGTTGGAATTAGAACCAGGCCCAACATGGAGAATTTCCTATTGGCTGGGGAAGTGTACATCAGCTAAATCTCAGCTCCCTCCTCACCACCCCCTTTCCTGGCAGCTGGCCCCAGAGCACACGCTGATGTCCTTCCGGAAGGCCCTAGAGCATAAGCTGTACGGGTTACAAGCTGATGTCACCATCAGGTAGGTGTTGGGGTTGCGAGGGTGGTACTGGCCCTCACCCCATCCCCACTGCATCCACATCTGGGTCTCTGCTTGAGAAACCTCAGGTCCCAGAGCCTCGGAGATGGGAGGGCAGAGGCTTGTATTATCCACTGCAGGGCAGGCACCCTGTTTGTGACAATAAATCTTGTGCCAAACTCCAGGATATAAAATAGAGAAAAGAACAGGGGCTCTTGGTTCAAACAGGGCTGGGGGGTTGTGACCTAGAATCCTGCCACAGAAGGAAAGATGACCTATATGAAGGACTAGATCTCAGACAGATGGAGCTCAAACACTCTGATAAGTGAAGTGAGAACATTGCAGAGTGATATATTCACTGTGATGTCAATTCTATTTTAAAAGACCATATTAAAATGACTTACACGTTTTCTATGTGTGGATATATGTGTGTATTAGTATAAAGGGCAGGAAGAATCCACACCCATCTCATAACATACCTGTGAGAAGGGGAGAGGGGCAGGGCTACCATATGTACAGGTTGTGTGAACAAGGGGTACCACTTGAGAGAACGCCTTCCCAGTGCAGGGATCATAGAATTATATATGTATCAAAACTTCCTAGTAGACGGTGGTACAATGCCTGAGGAAGGGAACACGGGGCCTTTTACTGTTTCAACGAAGGCAGCATATAGGCTTAGGCAGTGGCGATGGGGTGGGCCAGGATGGTGGGGGTTAAAATTTGTTGAAGGGGCCAGCTTTCGCACTGTTCTCATTATGGCATCACATGGACTAGGCTCTAAGCCAGGTTCCACCACTTACTGGCTCTGGACCTTGAGCTAGTTACTTCCCTCTCCCAGCCTCAGTTTCCCCATTATCAAATGAGGTAGCACCTACCTTCCCAAGTTGCTAATAGGCCCAGCCCCCATCTGACCCTCATAGAGAACTTGAAGGAGTCATCCACTCGCCCACTGCCTTCCCCGTGCTGACAGGGAACCTGAGACCCAGAGAGGGGCAGAGCCTGCTTGGGTCCTATGGTGGGTTGGTGTAAGGGGGTGGGGAGGAGTGTGTGTGGGGGGGTGATTGTTGTGGGCAGGTGAGGGGCCTGGACGGGCAGTGACCCAGTGGCCCCACCCTCCCGCAGCCTGGATGGCGTGCCCTTCCTCATGCATGACGCCACCCTGCGGCGCACCACCAACGTGGAGGAGTTGTTCCCAGAGCTTTCCCGCAGGCCCGCCTCCATGCTCAACTGGACTGTCCTGCAGAGGCTCAACGCTGGCCAGTGGTTCCTGAAGGTCTGGTTGTGCCTGTCCCAGTCCTAGGCATGGAAAGCACGGGCAGGGACCCCATGGAGTGAGAGGGCTGGGCAGCATCAGCTCGGGTGATCCCCACTCCCCAAGCGTCCCTCACAGCCAGGCTTGTTAGCAGCCCCCTTGGGCTCCTGCCACTGGGGCCCTAATATCATCATTGTCATTGCTTGTGCCAGTCTGTCCTCCTTGCCAGAAAAAGCTGTTGTTGGTAACAGTTAATAGTTAAAAGTGTCAACTCTGTAAAACTCTAGAGGGAAGTTGGTTCTCTGGTCTGAATTGTTACGAAAGGAGAAATGTGCTGGTGTCTGGGAGACAGTACAAGCAAATAATTCTCTTAGTGAGCAGGGTGTGGGGGAGAGGTTAGGGTTGGGGTGTCCTAGAGCCCCCACAGGGCCACAGCCATCAGTCTGCCTGACACGCATACATCAGTGGACAATGGCAGCTCAGGGGTCTTCATGCATCTAGCCAGGAAGGCACATGGAGGCCCCTAAAGGGCTGGTGAGGCAGCCATGTGTGTCCTTGTCTCTCCCAGGCGGACCCCTTCTGGACGGCCAGCTCCCTGTCACCCTCCGACCATAGGGAGGTCCAGAACCAGTCCATCTGCAGCCTAGTTGAGCTCCTGGAGTTGGCCAAGGGCAATGCCACACTGCTGCTCAACCTGCACGACCCTCCCCGGGAGCATCCCTACCGTTCCAGCTTCCTTAACATCACACTGGAGGCCTTGTTGCGCTCAGGCTTCCCCCAGCACCAGGTGAGACCTGGCAGCCTCGCTCCATGCAGCCGCGCCCCCAGGACTCCAGCATAAGCTCACCATGTCCCCTCTCCAGACCTCAGCTTCCACATCTGTAAAATGGGGGTAGCATGCCCCTCGCCTCCCTGATGGGGTCATCGTGGGGACAAGAGGGTAACAAGAAAGTCCTTTAAAATATACAAAGGGCAGGAACAAGTCTAGGTTCTCTGAAATAGTGTTACTTCTAGGAAGCATTGCCCACATTCTTGTGGTGTAACATTTGGAGTTCGGGGAAATCTCACACCAACTTATGATGCACACTGCTGGTGGCCATGTGCAGAATAACTGACCTTTGGGTTATTAGTCATCATGACAAGGGTCTAGAGGGCAAGCTCCCTGGGTTGTTGCCAAAGCAATTCACAGCCTTGGCTGGGATCAAGTCACCCCCTGATCATGAGTATTATATGGAAGATTTCACCATGTGCCAGGTCCTGTCTCTTAAGCCTTCCAGGTGCTTTAGGAGGGGCAGACACTAAACCCATTTTACAGATGAGAAATCTGAGGCCGCCCCCTCTCTGCCTGCAGGTTATGTGGCTGCCTAACAGGCAGAGGCCCTTTGTACGGAAGATGGCTCCTGGCTTCCAGCAGACATCAGACTCCAAGGAGGCAGCTACCAGCCTGCGGAGAGGCCACATCCAGCGACTGAACCTGCGCTACACTCAGGTGTCCCTCCAGGAGCTCAGGTACTCGCCCCAGCTCACCCAGAGGAGGCAAAACTGACCTCCTCCATCCTGTCTCTCTCTCTCAAACACACACACATACCTGCACATCTGGGCAGATGGCTAGAAGCACCGGGGCTTCTGGTTCAAAGGGGAGACGTCAGGAGCATCAGGCAGACATGGGTTTGGCTCTGAATCGGGCCCTCTGGGAGGGAGAGTCCTTCCTCAGGGACAGTGGTGAGGATGGCATGATGCTTTACAGGCTCCCAGAGGCCCAGAGCCGTGGGCTGACCAGTCTGTTCCCTACCCCACAGGGACTACGCATCCTGGAACCTGAGTGTGAACCTCTACACGGTCAACACGCCGTGGCTCTTCTCCCTGCTGTGGTGCATGGGGGTCCCATCTGTCACCTCCGACAACTCCCACACCCTGTCCCAGGTGTCTTCCCCCCTCTGGATCATGGTGAGTTGGGTACTGTTGGGGGGCAGAGGGCATCTAGGGGGAGCAGACTCCATCCTTGGGACTCTCTAGTGAGGTCTCAGGTTGTGGGGAGCGGTAGAGGATACAGGCTTGAGGCATGAGGAGGATCTCCTTAGCAGCGGGGTGGGCACTAAGGAGCTGGGAGATGGGAGGAAACTGGGCCTGACCCACAGGCAGAAAACATCACTTAAGGCCCCCGGAGAACAAGTGAACTACTACTTGGGTTTTTTGATGTGTTTATTTTCTTTTAAAGGAAGGGAAGGCATGATAAAAAGAGGGTAACAGGACAAGAATAGGGAACATTAAAATCTGCTGAGATTACAGAGAATCAAACCAGTTTTCAATTGGTTGACCAAGCACCTGCAGACAGGCCTGAATTCCAGTCCCAGCTCCGCCACTGGGGGGCTGGGGAGCCCTTGACCTCCCTCCTAGGCTCCCACTGCTACCTCTCTGAGAAGGTGAAAGGCAGGTAGAGGGTCTCGTTATGGCTGAGACAGTGCCAGGGTCAGTGAATCAGATCTAGGTCACAACGGTTAAGTCCATCCACCTGCCCAGTGTCCTTTAAGGCCTCCGAAGGCTCAGCCCAGAATGAGATGAAATAATACTGTGGCGGCAGAAGCGATGAGCACACCTGAATTTTGGGGTCACAAGAGTTGACCAACAGCAAGAAGAGCCCCCTGCCCCTTTCTACTGTCCCTGGGGGAAGCCCCATGGTCCACACCCTCCAGTGACACATGTACTCTTACACCCACACGATGCCACACACCTGCACACCAGCAAGCCATGTTGCACCCTCACCCTCATCTATTTCTTTCATTATTCACCTCTTGCTTTGATCCCCCTTAAGCACACAAACCCTCTAGACTCAACACCAACCACCTCTACCCTGAACCCCATACAGAACTCTTTTATCCTATGTACACACACACACACACACACGCCCACAATGCCCAGAGCCCACGCCTCCAGGTCCTCCCCTGCCACAGACCCTCAGTCTGGAGCCCAGTGTGGACCGGCTGTGACTGGGGGCTGGCCATGGGCCATCTGTCTACAGCCCCCGGACGAGTACTGTCTCATGTGGGTCACCGCGGACCTGATCTCCTTCACGCTCATCGTGGGCATCTTCGTGCTCCAGAAGTGAGTAGGCTCTGACCACCTTCCTCGGCCTTCCCTTCCCCAAGGCAGACCTGACTCCCACCCCAGTCAGGTGCCCTTCCTCCTGAGCTGTGGGCCAGGAGAAGGCCTGACGAGATGGCCCATGCGGGGAGGATTCCCAGTGGCCCCCTCAGCCAGAGCTGGTAGCTTCCGGAATGAGCACCCATCTGGGAGCCCAGAGCCAGCCTCTGCCCTGATTTGCTGTGTGGACTGTGATGAGTTTCAGCTCCTTTGTGGCTTGTCTCCTCACCTGTGCTGGATCCCTACCAGCACTTGACATGCAGAGACCTCCCCACCCCTTAGACAACAGCTGGGACAATGGGTGCAGTGGGGAGGCGGGGGTGGCCCAGGAGAGGGTTGAGGGCCAGGCTGGGGCCCCAGCCCAGCCCAGCCATGAATCAACGGGAAGGAGTTTTATTCTTAACTGACATTCTCTCTCTGTCCCATTCTGCTCTGACCTGGCGCATGTCCCTCCTCTCTACCCCCAAACTCCCCCTCTCTGCTGCACTCTGGCATCTCACAGCTATCACTTGATCAGGTAATTCTGGTGTGGTCTCCCTCCTCCTGTTCCTCTTTCTCCCTCTTCCTTGCCACCCCTTTCTCCAGTCCCTCTGCAAACCTGCACCAAGCCCTGTGCCTGGGTCAGGATCCCTTACCATCTCCCTCCCAGACACCTCCCTCGCCTGAAGCCTCCTTCCCTCCCCAGAATCATCCTCTCCCCTGCCATACTCCCTTCTCTTCCCATCTTACCGTGTGCGCCCCTCTGCTCTCTGTTCCTCCTGCTGTTTCTGCAGATGGGGAACAAGTGTTTCCTTGTAGGTTGCTGAGCTGGCCTCTCTCAGTACCAACACATCTTCCTCTGGGGAGAGGGCTCTGCCTGGGCACCCAGCCCCCCATGTCGCTTGCAGGGCCCACCCCACTGCTCAGTGCACGTCCTACCAAGTTCTGTCTCTCCCTTCCCATCTGTTGCCTTTCCCCTCTTTGGGTTTGCCTCTCCCATCACTCCTTCTATCTTTCCCTGGTCTCTCTCATCTTTTTCACTTTCTGTCTCTGTCTCCCCCATATAGTCTCTCCCACTTTCCCCTGGGGAGGGCCCAACAGCGGTTGAGCTTTCTGACCTAGATGTGCATGGCTCCAGAAACCCTGGTCTGACACTTTCCTTCTGGGGTTAATGTTAATTTCCAAGATAAGACGTGGGTCTTGGGGATCCAAGTCCTCCTTGGTCAAGCACCTTGTGCTCTCTTGGGTCAGGTGGCTTCACTGACCAGCTTCTAGGAGAAACTGCTCCCAGGCTGGGGTTCTGATTCCAGTCAACATACATTCACCAAGTCCTTTCTCCATTCCTGCAGTCAGCAGACATCCACATGTGCTGGCTGGTGCTGTGCTAGGGTCAGGCCACACATGGAGTCCAGCATGCTGCCTTAGTACTAGAACAGACATGCTGGGCCTGCTCAACATACATCCAGGGCAGTGTCACTGTCCTCTGGGAGTCGAGAGGCCTGATGGAGAAGGGGACCCTGGTGCAGATCATTTCCTCATTCTCCCATTTATTCACTCAACAAGTACTTAGGGCCCCTGTCCCCTCCCCCACAGCAGGCATTGAGGTTGGTGCCAGGGGCACAGCCATAAATAAGAGACCCAACTGCTGGCCTCAAGGACATGTAGGGCTAGCCCAGCCAGAGCACAAGTTGCCTTCCCCTCTGCCTCTGCCTCCTGCTTTGCCCTTGTCCGTCCGCTGTCCATTCACCCATCTGCCTGTCCATCTGTCGGTCCATTTCAGCTGCACTGACCCCATCTGGAAACAACTGATTCCTTGTGGAGTCTGGGCTCCCTTCATCTACCCCAGCAGGGCTCAGTGCCCTGGGGGTTGGGTTGTTTCCAAGCTGACACCTGCTTCTCTTGGTGGGAGTGAGGGTGGGGGTCCAGTGAATCCTTCTGTTCAGGTTGTAGGAAAAGTCTTAGGCCAGGGATTTGGGGCTAGTTCAGAGGAATTACAACAACAAAAAACAGTGCCTGGCTCTGCCTGACCCCTGCATGCTCTATCCAGCACCCCCTCTCAGCCCATTTGATTAATTTTACCCCCAGTCCTGGCCTTGGGCATCAGAGGGATTGACTCCCCAGCCTACCCTCCCCATCAGGGAACATACGCCCCACTCTTCCAGGGTTGTTGGAATAAAGGAGACTGTATCCCAAGTCACTCTCATGCCCTTGGCTCTGACCCTGTAAAGACCAGTTCTAAGCAAAGTCCCTGCCATCTCCTCATCCCTCTGCTTTCCTCTGGGATTCCCTCTGGCTTCACTCAGTCTGGTCATGATGGTACAGCTATAGGAGACATCAGTTGGAACTCCCCAAAATTGGTGTGTACCCCAGGGCGGGTCATCAGAGTCAGGTCTGCTAAGCCCTTCCCCGCCCCAAATTTATCCCCTCCACAGAGAGCCAGGTGCGTAAGTGGGAGCACCTGAGACAGAACTAACCAACTGACCAACCCAAAACATCTTCCTGGGCCACGGGGGCTGACCTGGGTTCTGGAGGTAAGAGGAAGGCAGGAAAACCCTGACTGAGAGTCAGTGGACTAACTCTAGCTCCAGGTCTGCCCATCACTGGGTCCCATCTGGATAGTAAGATGAGTCCTGCTGGTCTCTCAGGCCAGATTGAGAGAGGCTCTGGAACAGGGCAGGACCCCTGCTCCAGGGAAAGGTGGGGAAGGGCCTAATGCCCATGGGACCATCTTTGCAGGTGGCGCCTGGGTGGCATACGGAGCTACAACCCCGAGCAGATCATGCTGAGTGCAGCAGTGCACCGGACCAGCCGAGATGTCAGCATCATGAAAGAGAAGCTCATTTTCTCAGGTAGGCAGCCCTGCATACAGGCTGAGGAACGCACTGGGCTCAGTCTCTATCCCACACATGCACACGATGTGTGCACACATAGCACATGCAGGCAGGGGCACGGCATGGACATACAGATGCCCACACATGTAGAGGGACACACACACAGAGGTGCACACCCTCCACATGCAGCTATGTTAGCCCCATGGGTGGTGGGCAAGGGTGACGTACAGGAGTGGGGTGGGGGTAAGAATCTGCTTTGAGGGCCTGTCCCTGTTTGCTTGGTTCATACAGGAACCCCAAATACTGATTTCATTGCTATTGTGCCAGCCCTTGGACATTCCCAGTCTGATGGAGGAGGCAACTATATAAGCGAGAACATGGGAAATTGGGTGTCACTAGAGCTCTAATAGATGAGGGTGCTGAAGCAGAGTGGGGTACGAGGAGGAAAGAGTGGTCAGAGCTCCCTGGGGCAATGAGGGTTTTGAAACCTACTTGGCAAGGCAGTGACATAGTTGAAATGGGAATAATAGCTAGGAGGGGCCTGGAGATGGGTATGAGGTCAGGTCAGGGCAAACAGAGGGAAGGAAGGGCATTCCAGGGTAGGAGCAACGTGTGTTCAGAGGTAGTGAGGGAGCAGTGCTTTCCAGGGCACTGAGAACTAAGTATCGTTCCATATGGCTTGAGGGGAAGGGTCTTTGGCTGGCTCACCCCAAGGTGGCTTGGGGTGGGGAGGTTCTTGGGCCCCTGAAGTGTGATCAGGAGCTTGGGCTTCATTCCGAAAGCAGAGTTGGGTCATGGGCAGATTTGTCTTTGGCTATTTTTGCAGTAGGGCTGTAACAAAGTACCATGAAGTGGGAGGCTTAAACAACAAAAATTTATTGTCTCAGTTCTAGAAGCTTGGAGTCCAAAATCAAGGTGTCAGCAGGGCTGAGAGGGAAGGATCTGGTCCAGGCCTCTCCCCTTGGCTTGTAGATGGTCATCTTCCTGTTCACATGGCATTCTTCAAGTATGCATCTTGGTAATTCAGGACAGAGATGTGGGCATGGGGACAGAGAGAAAAGGAGAGATTTATAGAGTATTTAGGAGCCAGATGGACCTGGATTCAAATCCCAGCTCTATCGCCAAATAGCTGTGTGGACTGGAGCGCACGAACCTCCCTTAGCATCAGACTCCTGTCTGTAACATAAGCTAACATCCCTCAAAGGGTACTTGTGAGGGTAACTGCCTTGCCGGCCCAGAGGGGTTCTTGGTAAACATGCCTGAATGAAAGAGAGCCCAATGGGGGTGACTGTGGTTTAGATGGGGCTGGCTCCAAGGATCAAGTGAACATCTTATTAGCTCCTTTACTATTTATTCCTCTAAGAGATGAATGCCAGGCAGTTTCAGGTGCTTAGTATACACAGATTCTTGCTTACCTTTGCTCAAAAACCCTCCTCCTGGGAGCCTTCCCTCAGCACCAAGACAGGTTGGAGTGCCTCTCTAGCATCCCACAGCCCTCTGGCCACACTGGAGAGCTAGCTCCTGAAGGAAGGGGCCAGTCCAAGGCACCCAGGATCCCCAGGCCCCTGCACTGTGCCTGGCCTGGAGAAGTCAGAGGGATGGGCTGAATGAATGGAAGGCAGGAGGCCAGTCCCTAGGCCTGGCAGGTTCTGCCCATCTATACCCCCTGCCTCTCCTGTAGTGCCAAAGACTATTCACTAAGCACCCTCTGAGTGAAGACTCTGAGGAGTCAGCCACAGTCCTCACCGCTTGCCCACTGTAGATTGAAAGGTTCTCTCCAGAGACCCTCAACC